TTTTTCAGAAGTTAAAATGATACAGTGGCCAGTAAAATACTTAATTTACAGTGGTACATACCTGTAGTCCCAGCACCAGAGGCAGCCTATTACATACATAGTGAGTTCCAGGCCAGTTAGGGCCTGGAACTTTATCAAACAAAAACAAGCTTTTGGCCAGTACTTGAAATTGTTAGGGGCTTCACACAGGGCAGACAAATATTGTACCTGTAGCCCTAAACCCATTGCTAATCTTACTGATGATACAAATGTATTAAAATATCCAAGTTGTTAGAACATGCAGAAAGTAGAGATACTAAGGTGCAGGAGGAACTACAAGATCATGTAGGTACTTTGAAAACTGCAGTTCAGTAACACCTGGGACAAAGCAATTACATTTGTAGTTATTTATAAAAGTAAAATTAGATTTGTTCACACCCAAACCTGTATGGGATTAGAGCTCCCCGAACTGAAAGCCACAGTAGCCTACCAATTGGTTAATGGTGTGAATGGGATAAAAAGAATGATAGTGCTGATAGATTGCAAGCATTGAGCAATAAAAATCTGCCCATGCTTTGACAATACATACTAAGATTGGAGCCATACAGAGATTAGCATGTCCCTATACAATGATGTCATACAAATTTGTGATGAGTCGTCTTCTCCAGCTCATTCTTCAGGGGCATTTAAATCTTTAGGGGGACACTGTAAGGATGAAAACCTTGCATTGTCTTTTAAAGGACAATAAACCTATGCCCTCTATTCAGGAAGCATTTGACTATTGTTCAAAGTGTGATAACTTTCATGGATGGCACAAGACTGAACCTTTGAGAGCATCTAGTATAAACTAACAGAACTTGTGAATCTTGGCTTTTATAGACATACCAACATAATTTTCTCCTAATACAGTCATTTAGCCCATCTTTGGCAGGACAGTCTTAACTCCAGTCTCAATGCTTGGTCTTGGGAAAGCTCTTGAGGACTATCTTCAACTAGATGCAGTGGTCATTGTACAAGTGATGTGGGAGAATTGTCTGTATTCTGTCAATCATATTTTAATAAAACGCTGATTGGCCAGGCAGGCAGTATAGGCGGGAAAACCAGACAGGAAGTAGAGGTGATGCAATGAGAACAGGAGAATTCTGGGAAGCAGGAAAGTTCCTCTGCCACTCCTGCGCACACCACCGAAGAGGCAACATGTAAGCTGTCACACTGAGAAAGGTACTGAGCCCATGTGGCTAACATAGATAAGGATAATGGGGTAATATATGTTATAAGAGTTAACAAGAAGCCTGACCTAATGGGCCAATCAGTTTATAACCTTATGGAGTCCTGTGTGTGATTTTTTTCCTTGGGACTTGCCAGCTGTGGGGTACTGGGCAAGAATAGATACCCCAACAAGCCGGCCCCTCATGTTACATACAAGGTACTTCATGATGCTCAAGTTGTTGGAAAAAGCAGAAATGACTTGCTGGGTGTTGCTTAGGCAACCATTTTCAGCAAGGGAATTCATAAGGTTGGTAGTCAGGACCGTGATGTCATTCAGGCTTTGTGCTTTGATGGAACACTGAATGTAAACACCATGACTTAAGTTTTACTGGCCCAACTTACTTTATTTAGACACAGCAGGGCCTGCCTGACTACAGATAATTTAAAAGCCCCTTACCTGTTGGAATATCCCAGATGCTGTAGCCATCTCCCAGGTAACTATAGGTCAAAGGACTTTCATTTTAAATAAGGTGGAGAAACATGAAAATATTCCCATATGAAACTTTAACTTCCACATGGGCAGGTACATGCATATACTTAAGTAAAAAGCATAGCACAAAAGGCCCCAATTCTGTAGCATTCTGGAAAAGGGGGAAAAGAAATAGCAAACATCTGTCATAAACCCAAAGGTAGGAATAGGAGTTAGCCACAAAAGGTCACAAGAATTTATAGGAATGCTGTGACTTAGGACGTGAACCAACTGGTGATTACATAATTATGTATTTAGTAAAGCTCACAGAATTCTATAAGGGGTATTTATTTTCTCTAGCTTAACCCATAAAGTATTTCAAGTAGGTTTAGAATGAAGGGTAAGACAAATCTATATTTCACCTCACTAGGAAACTAGTTATTCTCACCTTGGAGGCACCTGTACTGAGCTGATAGTTTAGCTTGTAATCATTAGTTTACAGTAGAGTTCCAGGGGCTGGAAAGAGATTAAAACTCAAAAACAATGTTAAGACCAGAATTGTGGAGCTAAGGTGTAGGCAAGCTGGTAGAATGTCTACTTAGCATGCAGGAGGACCCGTAGTCCATCCTTAACACCCTATAAACCCAGTGTGGTGCTACAAGCCTATTGTAATCCCAGCTAGGTGGAGAGGAGGAAGAATGCGTAGTTGAGATTGGATTAGCCATGCCACACACAGCTTTATGGTTATTTTTGTGGTTTTGTTTCAGTTTTATACATGGGGATGTTTTATCTGCATATATGCCTGTGTTGCAGGTGCATGCCAGCCAGAAGCCAAAAGTGGGTGGGGTTCAGTGTCCTGGAACTGAAGTTATAGGTGGTTGTGAGCCATCAGTCTTGTTTTATAGCTTTCGTTAACCTCTGGAATAACTGTGTAGACCATGCTGGTCCCAGACTTGTGGTAATCTTCTTATCCTTTCTTCTAAATACCTGGACTATAGGTGTGAGCCACCATGCCTGACTTCTGTGGATGTGTGTGTGTACAACAGAGGTCAACATGCACTATATTCCTGTCACTTCCTGAGACAAGGTCACTCAACGAACCTTAAGCTCACTGACTCAGCCAGACTGTCCAGCAAAGCCTCAGGGATTCATTCTCCTGTCCTGGAATTACAGGTTTGCACCATTACTGGCATTCTCACTGAGTGCTGGATATCATACTCTGGTCCTCAAATCAGCATGACCAGCCTTCACCAAATACCTAACCCTACCTCAATTTTAAAAAGATAAAATTCTATACTGGAGAAGTGGCTCAGAGGTTAAGAGTACCTACTGCTTTTATAGAGAGCACAGATTTGATTCCCAGAACTCATATGTTGGCTTACAACTGTCTGTAAGTACAGTTCCAGGGTATACACTGCCCTCTTTTGACTTCTATGGGCACCAGACACATAACTGGCACACACACATACATGCAGGCAAAATAGTTATACACATAAAATATAAATATCTTTGAAAATTCCATGCTTAGGTATCTGGTCCCATTTTATCAATTTTTCCAACCTAATTCTATAAAAACGGATCTATTTCCTTCCTTAGTTTGGTAGGTCCCCAGCACTAGCTGGGGCCGAGGAAAACTGATTACAGAATTGGAATGTGTAACACTGGACTAGCACAAGACTTGGACACCTGAGGCTGCGGATCAGAACTTCATAGATAGCTGTTTCACGTTGACATTGCAGATCTTCGATGGTATAGAGACCAGGAGACAGAGCCAAATGTTACTTTCTCAGTATTTTAAATGTCATCTTACTGGAGCAGTTTTCTCAGTCAATTCATGTTTATGTAGTCTCTTGGTTGTTGCGGAAGTATCTTCCGCTGCCTCAGCCAATAGTCGCTGAAGCACGAGCCCACAGTGCGGTGGGGAGCGCTGAAATACCAGCCCACTGGGGTGTGGTATATTTCTCTTTCAAAAAGAGCCACAGATCCCGGATCAGGCTCTCTTGGTTACGGCGCTTGGTCCCGGCTCCTGCTCCAGCGACTAGGCTCCCTTCCTGACAGTTTATGGTGTATGTAAGTTTTACCCCCCAAAATAAATAACCCCTTAAAACATAACTGGTGTGGGATTGATTCGCCGTTACTTGGTCAACTCTCAGAGCCTAGGTCATAGTGTTCATATTTCCGACTTGACAACCTCCTGTCCCAACTGTGCTTTTCAACCATGAATCATCATGACAGTCCTTCTCTACCAGGTATTCAGAAAATCTGTACAGTACAAAGTGCCACTCACAGCACTTGCAATCCACAGACTAGACAAGCCAGCCTGCCTGTATTTTCATTGCTCTTAGGATCTTTTGCTAGCTGGCCTGTATTTTCATTGCTCTTAGGATCTTTTGCTAATCAACCCACTAGAGTGACTAACCTTCGATGTAAGAGGGAACTACAATTATCCTATGTTTTAATTCAGTGTTGACAAATTGACAACTTGAAATCTCTGTGGTATGCACTGGTAACAAGCCACTTAATAAATTGAAATCATTGCATCTCTATCAGATCCTGGAATGTGCCCCATAATGACATTCTTCTGGAGTCAAAGCACCTCAAATTTTGCCTAAGGGATTTAACACTATGTACTACATTAAAGTGTGATACCTGCATTCAGGTGAGAAAAGTGCATACCTGTATTGTTAGTGCAGGGGAAACAGAGAGGAGAATCCCTGGGGCTTGCTGAAAACAGCCTAGCTGAGTCAGTGAGATGAAGGTTTACTAAGGGAACATTTTTCAGGAAGTGACTCGATCACTCTCCACCTTATTTTCGAGATAGTGTCTGGCCAGTGAGCTCTGGGAGTCATCTGTCTCTGTCTCCATAGCATGAGGATTATAGGCAGATGCTGCTTTGCCTGGCTCTTTATATGGAAGTTGGGAATATAAATTCAGGTCTTCATGCTTCATAGCAAGCATGTTACTAAAGTCAGCATGGTAGTGCATGCCTATAATGCTAGCCTTAATAAGGCCAAAGCAGGAAAAGTGCCATAAATTCAAGGTCAAACTGACCTATCAGGCCAGCCAGAGGTGTAGTCTATCAGTCTTAAAAACCAAGGAAGACCTGACATGCTGACTCTCCTAGCCATTAAGAGGCTCATGGTCCCGCTAGAACAGTCAACTATCCACAAACTTTAACACATGGGATTGTTTCACCCTGCAAACATAAAAAGCAGGATCTGCTGAGCCAGTCCTGCACGACTACTACATATCCAGAGTCAATTCTTTTTACTGGAAAGAATCACTTATAGTCACACCTTCTACTCATTTCAGAAAGTATTTGGAAGTAAACTGAAAAGCAAAATATTACTAAAATAAGTTATTTATTGTTATTTAAAATAAACATTTATTATAGAATATCAAATTTGACTTAATCTAATATATTAACAAAAACATAATACAATACACTTCAGTAAACAAGGATTTCCAACTTAATGTATAACTAAGTCAATTAAAACACTTGAGTTTTAGGTAGGGGCAAAGAGCAGCCACTGCCATCTAATTCCCCAAATCCATACTGCTTCATATTTAAGGGGCAACCTCAGAGGGGGTTCTTCCCCATTGGAAATGCACAGAAAAATGACGCAACCCCTAAAGCAGCTACAGAGGAGAGGGTACTACTAGATCAAAATTCTACTTCATATCCCTGAAAGTGGTGGTGGTTTTTCCCACCAGTTTTATAGAAATGGCAGTTTGTTCATGAAAGCAGCCCATTCGTGGAATGTGGTAGCATGGTCATGTCTTCAATCTTAGGGCTTGGCAGTGTCTGGTCACATGCCCACATTCAGAGTTAGGAGATACTAAGGCTGTGGGCTGCCGTCATGTCACAGTGATTCCTGCCTCAGGAACACTAAGAAGATGGCTCTCTTCTCTTTAGAGGTAGGAAGTATTGTCAACTCCAGAAGGGCTGAGTCTACAGTTTACCCTACATTGGATTCAATGAGATGGTCAATAAAACTTTTTTCTTTGTATTTGTGAAAGATTTTTTGTAATTATCCTACATTTGGTTCAACAAAGCAATCAGTTTGAAAGTTACTGGGTTACTCCATGATGATAGACGTCATTCCTCCCAAGAACTTAAGTCCTGTTGTTGAACATTTCTTCATACCATCCTCTGTTTTTGGCTTCCATACAGACAGATGCATGGCACTGCTGCATGGTATATTCCATCTCAATCAGTTGTTGGCATCCAATGGTTAATTTTTCCCTAGGGGAAAAGAGAAATAGTAAATCACCAGAGGATAGTCAAAAATCCCAGGACTCCAGAGGCAGAGGCAGGCAGGTATCTGTGAGTTCCAGTTTAGCCAAGGCTGCACACCCTTTCTCAACAAGTATTTGTAACTGTATGTATACATGTATGTCTGTGTGTGAGCTTATGCATATGAATGTAGTGCCCACAGAAGCTAGAAGAGGGTGTCAGATCCCCTGGGGGTCAAGTTACAGGTGGCTGTTGGCTGCTCAAGTTGAGTGCTGGCAACTCTAATCTTTTCCGAAAGCAATGAGACCCCTGCACCATCTCTCCAGCCCACCCTACATTTTACCTCCAGACCCACAAGGTAGAAGGCAAGAAGTGATTCTCCAAATTGTCTTCTGCCTTCACATGTGTGCTATGGTACACACACACATGTAATTCTTTAAAAAATTAGTTATACAGATGGGTGTGATGGCTCATTAGAGGCTAGAGCAGGAAAATTCTCAAATACTTAGTTCCAGACCAGCATGGACTACAGAATGAGCTCCTATCTCAAAAAAAAAAAAAAAAAGAATTGTAGATATTGACTATATATGGTATGGCTTGAAATATGTATGCATTATAGAATTGGCTTGGCTGAGATATTTAACATACGTTATGCCTCAAACATCTCTTGAACTACTACTCATAACTGATGTTTTGTGTCCTTTAATTAACATCCACCCAATTTTTCAACCACTACCTCCAGGCCTGTTACTCTACTGCCTGTTTCTGGATTCCACTATTTTGGCTCTGTATAAAAGCAAGCTCCTACAGTATTTGTTTTTCTGCTATCATAAGACACTCAACATAACGGTGTCCAGGTCCATCCATATGTCTACAACAATAGGTTTTCCTTCTTTTCAAAGGCTAGACAGTGTTCTACAGAGCATTTTCCCTTATCTATTCCTTAGCTGGTAGGCATTTAGATTTATTCCATATCTGGTCTACTGTAACTAATGCTACACTGAACATGAAAGTGAAGAAATCTTTTAAACATAGTAAACCCATTTCCCTTAGATACATTAAAAACTCTATTTGACAGTTCTGAGGATTAAAGCTAGACTTCAGTATGTGAGACAAGTGTTCCACCAGGCAATATTCTTAATATAATGTGACAATTTGAGAGAAGATACTCTTCTTAGCAAAGAGCACAGATTCTTAAATACCCAACTGAGATTTCTAGCTGTAATTCCTAGAATTCAAAAATAAGAGTTCCCATGGCAGACCTCTGTAAATAAGCAAAGTTTAATCTTTAAATAGAACACTGTGGGTTGAACAGCCTAAGTTTCTACCTAACTCTCTGAAGGACCTCTAGCTTATGTTTAGATGTCACCAGGGGCTAAGTAGCACACTGTATCTACTTCAGTTGGAGAGGAAAGAAAGGTGAACTGTAAAGGTAGAACCCACTCCAGCAAATTTCCTCTGACCTAAGCATTCCCTCATCCCAAATAATAAAACCACTGCTGTAAGCCAACTAGCAGTTAATTGAAAATTCATACTCTTAAACCAAAGGTGAGATATGCGGAGAGTGGTGAAGTGAGTTCTAGGTCATTCAAAGCTACATAGTGAGATCCTGTCTCAAAATAAAAACTGTGGGAAAGCAGGAAGCCATACCTAATATACTCCATGCTCACATCACAATTTTTAAATTATTACTTTTTAAAAAAGATTTATTTTTACTTATGTGTGTTGTGGAATATTTGTTTAACTAGGCAAAGATGTGTTACATTTGTTTAAGCTGCAGAATATTACTTTATGTGAAGGTATGTTACATATGTTTATGCTGCCTTTGTTAACAATGTGTATGTTACACTGCATTTGTTTAACTATGTAAAGACGTGTTGCTGTTTTACCTTGCTTGCCTAAGGCACCTAATTAGTCTAACAATAAGCTGAATGGCCAAGAGCTAGGCAGAGAAAGGATAGGCAGAATAAACAGACAAGGAGAATAAGTAGGAGGAGCAATCTAGGCTGTAGAGGAAAGAAAAGAACCTGGGAGAGAGGGACACACCCAGAGCCAGAAGCCAGACAGCTGCCAGCCATCCAGACACAAAGAGGCAGTGAAAGGAAGATATACAGAAGAAAAGAAAGGTAAAAAAAAAAAAAAAAAAAAAAAAAAAAAAAACCCAAGACAAAACACAGATGAAGATAAACAGGTTAAGTTATAAGAGCTAGTGGGGCAAGCATAAGATAAGGTCAAGCATTTATAATTAATAAGCCTCATGTCATCATTTGGGAGCTGGTTGGTGGCCCAAAAGAAAAAAAAAACCTGCTACATTATGCATATATGTTCATTCATGTGGGAGCCAGAAGGTCAGAGGGGGATATTGATGGAGTTAACAGGTAGTTGTAAGCAACCCAACTTAAGTTCTGGAAACAAAAATTCAGGTCCTCTAAAAGAGCAATGGTACTCTTAACTGCTGAGCCATCTTTTCAGCTCTAATTTACTTTTTAAAAAAAAAACTTGAAGTGAGAGGGCTGAAGAGAAGGCTCAGTGGTTAAGAGCACTGGCTGCTCTTTCAGGGGTCCTGAGCTCAATTCCTAGCAACCACACGGTGGCTTACAACCATCTGTACTGAGATCTGGTGCCCTCTTCTGGCATGTAGGCAAACATGCAGACAGAACCCTGTATGCATTAAAAAATAAATCTCTTTAGAAAATCTGTGATGAATCCAGTTGATTTGCCAAAAACTAATAAGGGCAAAATTATGAGACCCCTAATTTTAGAGCACTAAAGCGTTTTATTTAGCATATTTCTATCTAATAGGTGGTCTCTATAAATTCAGGAAGATTACTCAGTTATCTAGTACAATCTCTAGGCATGTTATTCAAGATAGGGCAATTATCTTCTTTATATTAAGAATGTCATGATTAGGGGCTGGAGAGATGGCTCAGTGGTTAAGAGCATTGCCTGCTCTTCCAAAGGTCCTGAGTTCAATTCCCAGCAACCACATGGTGGCTCACATTCATCTGTAATGAGGTCTGGTGCCCTCTTCTGGCCTCCAGGCATACACACAGACAGAATTATGTATACATAATTAATAAATAAATAAATAAATAATTTTTTTTTTTAAAAAAGAATGTCATGACTAGTCAGGTGTGGTGGCACATGCCTTTAATCCCAGCACTCAGAAGGTAGTGGCCAGTCTGGTCTACAAAGTGAGCTCCAGGACAGTCAGGCTGTTATAGAGAGAAACTCAGTCTTGAAAGAAAGACAAAAAAAGAGAATGTTATTACTTCCTTGGCTTCTAGGATGGCTCAGAGCTATGTCCATAGTGTTAGAAAGGACTACAGCTACCTCTCCTCCCACATGATGGATCCCTTGATAGAGGGTACTAAGGGGAAAAGAACAAGTCAAAACTCAGGATCCTTGAGAGGAAGGAGAGACAACAAAAAGTAGATGTGCCATATATGAACTGCCCCACTTCCTGAGGATGTGTGGCTTCTCAGTGACTAAAAACAATTTGTGAGTGGAGGATGGGAAGGATGGACAGATGAGAGAATATGGAGAGGATTAACTGATTCTAAACACCTTTCTAAAAAGCTGTATGGAAACTTACTACAGTAAAAACTTCCTAAGATTACGTGAGCAGCACGTGCACACGCGAGCGTGCGCACGCACACACACAAGAGAATTTAAATGGAATTATCCTAATGAGATTACAACACCAAACTAGATATCATGCACTACCAGATAACCCACTTCCAGGAATGGATTGCTTCTTTTTCAGCTGTTAGCCAATGAGACCCAATAGACTGCCCCAGACACAATCAACTACTGGCACTGTTCTTGGTTACCCTCCAGAACTTGACAGTAAGATCCTATTGCTAGAAACACCACATAATTGAGTCATAAGCATGGAGAGATCAGGTACTGACCTGGAAGCTTCATCCAACTAGCTGGCTCTTACAGGGCTGGAAGGAGCTAGGCACACTACCAGAGGAGAAAAGTAATCATCAATCTCACTCAACGATGAGCCCTCTGAGCTACAATAATAACTTGCCTGGCAAGATATGCCCACCGGTACAACAGTGGCATGAATGTTACAGGATAACCAATCAAATTCTGGCTGGATTTAAGGCCTGTTTCAGAAGATAGACCCACATCCAGCACAGTTAATGACACCAAGAACCTGTGACTTGATAGACTATAGGCCATTGGAGAAAACCTACTACTAGTGAGTCTGCTGAATGGGCACAGCATTAAAACTCCTAATGACTTACTGCTATACATAGATAAATGCTAGTCTTAACCCTCATCAGAGAAGCTTAATGCAGGAGATGGTGATCACACAGAGAACCATAACTGTCAACACACAGAGTCAGTCTTATGAGGCACTGAGCCCTAAATAGGACATTTATATCATACCTTCCCTTTAAGGCTAATGGATCTTTGAGGAAGAAGATGGGAAGACTGTAAGAGCCAGAGATAGTAGCTGATGTCAAAGAAATGGTGTCTTCTATACCTAACAGCAGGTGCACATACAAACTCACAGAGACTGTGACAGCATAGACAAGATTTGCACAAGCTCAAGCCAAACAAAATCAAAGTATGCCGGGAGGGAGGTATGGGCACATATAGTCTCATCCTTCCATGAGGAGTCATTGGCATTTGATAGTTGTCAGGAAAGGCAAAGCCAGTATTTAATTGTATGACCTCTATATTACCACATTCCATGGCAGGTTCCACACTCAAAGAGCAGTTGGCAACATATACTGGATTTGATGAGGAAAGAGGGGGAAGAGGGATAGAGAAACACACAAAGTTGGGCAGTTAGAGAGGTGGGAGGGGGTGAATATGATCAAAATATACTGAAATTCTCAAAGAATTAAAAAATATTATTTTAAAAAACTTTGGCTTTGAGTTACCCTAGGTCTATTTCCTATACTTAAAATTTTTGCTGCCAATTCTTCCCAACAACTCAAAAAAAAAAAAAAAAACGTTTTCAAAAAAGTCTTGTACAAGGTTGGAAACAGCAGAGATGAAAATGTTTTCTTATAAAATTCTTAAAAAAAAAAAAGGCAGGTCCATATTCCTATCCTTGGTCATTTACTCTACATTTGAAAACAAAAGAACGTATCCTTCAGTAACCAAATCTATTTCTGTATCCTTCCTTTTCCTTCCCTTCCCTACCAGAGTTAGAAGGGGCTCCCTCTCCTCTTTAGCCTGGTGGTGCTGAGCTCCTTCCCTTCCTGTGAGTCAGTGTTCTGGCAACAACCACTCAGTTATTTCCTGCAGCGAGTTGTCAGTGCAAAAGGCTGCCGGGTGTAGTTAGTGTGGTGACGGAGTTCCTGAGTTCCTTTCCTCAGGACTCACCTGGGGGACCGATAACCAGCCTCTGAATTCCATTCTCTAGCACCTCCAGTGAGTCACATCCCTTGAGCACTCACTCACCCCTTGGTAAATGGGGCCCTCACAAACATGAGAAGCAGCCCATTATATTTTGGATACTCCCAAACTGCCTATAAAAGCCATTTATCTGAGCCCAAGTTAAAATGAAAACTATTTCTACTTTCTTCCTCTGATAGTCTTATTAAGTTGCTACACCTGGCTTAAATATGTGATCATCATGTCTCAGCCTTCTAAGCAGTTGAGATTACAGTTATGCACCACACCTACCTAACACTCTAGAGTTCTAAGTTCACATAGAACAAATAGATATGGCCCATATGAACATAATAATCTATAAAGATAGATGGCGGTACATGTCCACAGTCCCAGCTACTACGGAGGCTGAGACAAGAGGACCTGCTGGCTCTTCCAAGTTCAAAACCAGTCTGGGCAACACAGTAAGACCTTGCCTCAGAATAAATAAAAAAAGATCACACATACATGCATACAAGAAAGAATCTTGAGGTTGAACATTTGAAAAATCACATTAAACTATACAGTTGATAAATTAACTTAGGCTTTTTACATATATGAAATATTTTGTACCAATAAAAGTTAAAAATAATAAGAAAGGTTGGGAGACAACTTTATTACCGTACTTGCCATGAAAACATGAGGACCTGAATTCAGACTTCCAGCTTCCACATGAAAAGTCAAGCATAGCAGCATCTGCCTATAATTTTCATGCTATGGGGGCAGAGATTGGCAGATTTCTGGAGCTCAGTAGCCAGACACTATCTCAAAAACAAGGTGGAGAGCGATTGAAGAAGAGAGCCGACCTCCACTGCTGGCCTCTATGAGTTTACATACACATCAATGTTAACATACACAGACACACACACACACACACACACACACACACACACACACACACACACA